GTTCCCGGAGGTCTCGGCGTCGGAGCTCGGTGCGGTGCTCGCGTTGGCGTCCGGGTCTTTGTTCATGGGGTCGTGGATCCCACCTTCGTCGCCAGTGAAAAGTATGCAGACGGAGAGTGATTTCAGCTAAGCATACCTTTATTTAGTTCAGGACAAAGAGGGACCAGCTCGCAGGCTGGTTTATATACGTTCAGAAAACCCGCCACCCAGTACACCTAAACACACCCCCTACTCCCGATAGGCTATTTACAGTAACCGGGCGACCATTGGTCTCCCGGCTGAGAAGCTGGCCCTTTGATTGGGCCGGCTAGGATCCTACGGACCCATTGTCTTTGGACATGAAGCTATTGAAGAGTTGTGCCTGGCCAGCCCGGGCAAGTCCGGGCATGTCAGGCTGAATACATTACAACCCCCTATCGAGTAAGGGGAACCCCAGTGCCAGTCAGTTCTTGGAGAGCTCTCAGAGAGCTGACTCATGGGTGCAGATGCAATGAGGCACCAGGGCAGGCCATTAGAGAATAGCCCACCCCGGCGCCTCAATGCATCTGCATCAGCCAGCGTTTCGGCTCTCAGAGCTCTCAGAGATCTGACTTGCTGGCTGCCGCACAGGTGCAGACACAGTGAGGTGCCGGGTTGGGCCATTAGAGAATGGCCCTCCCCAACACCTCACTGCGTCTACACCTGTTTGGTGAGCCGAGAAGGCAGTCAAGCAGCAGGGCAGCGAGCGTTGCTCGCTACCATGCCGCCTGGCTGCCCCCTCTTCAGCTCTCCTCGGAGGAGAGTCACTCATAGTGACATCACTAGTGATATCACCACATTCTGGGGCACGGCACCCCCCTCCCAATTCCCAAAGCTCCCCTCCAGAAAATTTCCCAGCTACAGGGCTGCTTCATAGTGCAGTTCTAAGCAGTCAATGGGCTTAGAAGGGGGTAAGTGTACTTTGGGCTTTGCCTCTTTCCAGTAACAGAGAGTCACAGGCTAACCTTAGCAATAACCCTCCTCACCCCCCAGTGCCCAAGAAAATACTCACTAATTGCTGAGTCATAGGCAGTTGAATTGTGCTCATCTCGGAAGAAAGGAAATGGAGAGAGATAGGCATGGGTGCAGTTTTTAGAGGGTGCCTGGTTAGCTGGAAAAAAGCATGACATGTTAACAACCTTGTTCTCCATTTACACAAAAAAGAACTTTTATCCCATTTACGCACAAATATCTAAGCAAGCTTGATAAATAATGTATTCGCTTCTGCGTTGCTTACTGAAGCATTTGTATATGTCTTCCTTAAAATCGTAACAGATTACAAATATCAAGAAACAATCCACATGTGTGCCTACTTTTCAGACTTCTAGGGTTGCCAACCTCCAGGTGGGGCCTGGAGTCCCCCCCCCCGAATTACAACTGATCACCAGACCACAGAGAAAATGGCAGCATCAGCAGATGGACTCTGTGGCATCACACCCTGGCTGAGCTCCCTCCTCTCCCCAAACTCCACTCTCCCCAAGCTCTGCTCCCAAATCTCCAGGAACCTCCCAACCCAGAGTTGGCAACCAGTGTTCCCTCTAAGCTGGGTTAGTGTGAGCTAGCTCACAGTTTTTTAGCCTCCGGCTCACACATTTTTGTCTTAGCTCAGGAAGGAGGGCTTCAGATCAAACTGATTGATGCAGCAGCCAAATCGCTCGCTCACAACTTTAATGCCAGACCAGTAGCTCCCAAAGTAGAATTTTTGCTCACAAGACTCCACAGCTTAGAGGGAGCATTGTAATGGCAACCCCATGTCAGAATTATGGGACATTCCGAAAGCAGAACTCATCTAGCCTGGCTCCCTTTAACAGAGAGAGAGCCTGAGACTTACGACATTCTGCAATATGTACTTTATTTTAAAATATGCAAAGCATTTTTATCCCACCATTCCTCCAAGGAGCTCAAGGCATTTTTATCCCACCATTCCTCCAAGGAGCTCAAGGCAGTGTGTATGGTTCTGTGTTCTCCTTTGACTCTCACAGCAATCCTGTGGGATCTAAGTAGTCCCCAATAATCTATGCTCCATTGACCACTGCTGCTTTTAAACAATATTTTCACTCCTATAAATATACACAGGGGTCGTTTCGTAGAAAAAGAGCTAGGGGAACTCATTAGCATAACTCATTAGCATATGCCACACCCCCTGACATCACCGGAAGTGTGACATAAATACTTGCAGAGTCAACCCTGCTTAGCTTCCAAGATCTGCAGTTCTTGAGCTGATGGGGACCTCTGGACAACCTGGACAGGTGGCACACTAGTCTTAGTGGACTATACCTCCCCTCAAAAAAACCAGTGCTTTTTAAAAAGTATGATGGCCAATGAGGGGCCCGGCAGTGGACCTGCAAGGCCGGCGGGAGTGCGAGGAAGCCCCGCGAAGGCCCTCCCTGGCCCCAGGCAGGCAGGGGTGGGGAGAGGCGGGGAGGAAGCAACTTACCCTCCCTCTTCTCCTGCCTCCTCCTGGCTGAATGAGGGCCAGAAGCAGGGCGGCCAGAAGCAGGGGGCGGGACTTCATCATGTGCCCCGCCCCCCAGCACCTCACCTGGGGGAACTGCGATCCCCCCCGAATCTATCTCTGCATATACAACTAGAAAGGCAACGAGGCAGGGCCACCCCACACCAGATCCATTATTCCACACCACATCCCAAAGAGGTTGTGAGAGAGATAAACACACACACACAAGGGCCCACTCCAGAAGTGACATGGCAGACACTCTAACATTTTTACCCTATAGTTTCACAAAACAGTTTTTGCAAAAATGTTAGAGTGTCTGTCATGACACTTCCCGGTTTTTACGAGAAGTTATGCAAACACAACAGCACAATGCCACCTTACATTCCTCCCCCCCACCCCGTTCCTCCTGCCTGAGGTACCAGTGGGCAATGAGGAAGGATTTCTGAAGGCCTCTTTCTACAGCTAGAAAGTTACTTTTTTAGGGGGGGAGGGAAAGCTGGGAGCTCAAAGAAACAGATGCATATTTAGTATACCAGTGTATCAATATAACTCTATTAAATCACTGATTTAAAACAAAACAAAACAAAAAAACTACCAGAAAAACCTGCTGTGTGGAAAACCTGTGGCTGCTGGGCTGTATTAGCAGCCTGTCCCCATGTAGAAAACACCAATAAAATCTTTTAAAATATGAATATAGTATACTAGAAGCAAAGTTCAGTCCAAGGAGGGAGAAAACACTTCACAACAGGATTCATAAAAGCAGATCAGTGAAAAGCTGATCGGAAAAGACAGGGCTCTTTTCTTTCATTCTTTCTTTTTTAAAAAAAAGAGAGAGAGAGAGATCAAAATTCACTACAGAACTAGCTCTTCTAAACTTCCTCTAAAAGAGAATTCCAAAGAGTTAAATCAACTACAGAAAAAGATCCAGATTCCAAAAATCTAAATCAAGAAAAAGGTTGTTTCCTGTAATTTTAACATGACTTTTGGAGTTATACAAATCGCACTGCAAAAACCCGTTATGATTTAGGGTTGTTAATGAGAAAGCAAATATACCCAATGGTAAATGGTTCATGTGCTGGTAGATGGTCAGAAGATAAACTTTGACTGATAAAGATAACAACTACACAGAAAGGACGTATTTTAGTGCATTTGGACATTTCCGAAGGGTTAATATTCCTCCAGGTTATTTTGACTGAGATTTCATTGAGCACATACCTTGATGCTGACATTTTAAGACAAGCAAGCTTTTGGAAATTCCAAGAAACATTATTGATTTCCTGTGATGTCTGGAATGTTAAAGGTTCATAAGATCCCCACATTAAAACCTCTGTATAGCCAAGAGCCATAAAAGATTCTTTCTCTTCCTTCCAAGTGTTTTATTTATTTAAAATATTTATATTCCTACCTTTCTCCTGGGCATCCCAAGGCAGGCTTTCTATCAACTCCATCCCAGTAGTATTGCCATTGCTTTTCCCAACACCCATGCCCAGAAAGGGGAAGTAAGAAAGCAAAAGACAAAGAATGGCTACTGGAAGGCTTTCAGGGACCATATAAAAGGGACCAGGCATATACAGATTTGAGTCTCAGAATAGTAACTTTAACCTTTATCTGAAAAAGACCAACATCTATCTTTCCAAAAGGCTCTTGGAATGAACTGGGATGAGTTGTGATCTTGCATCCTGACTTTCAAACCTCAAACCAAAATGTCTCTTTTTGAATGACAATTGGAATGCATTGGGATGGATTATGATCTTGTCATCCTGTACCCCTCAGAAGAAACCTTTACAGCAGCCTTGTCATTCTGAAGCCTCAGAGGTTGGGTGGGAACTGGAGCTTTCATTTATGCCCAGGGTTGCCATATGCCCACTAGTGATGGGAGAGCTACTAGTGACTATATGATGTTTTCTGCACACTCGACTTATTTCTGATTTTTTGGGGGAGTTGATCCATAAGCACAGGAATCCATTGGGGCTTGATTCTTCCGGACATCTACCCCCTTTCCTGCATTTTCACAGTTGTGGAGTGAGTTTATTTTCTTCTCAATGTGCCTTTAATAGTGAGGGCTTTCAAGAAACAGAGCTGTTGTCATCAGTGGTGTCACAGTACCCCCTTCCCCCCAAAAAGGCACTAAAATATTGATATATTGCTAGAGCATTGTAACAACAGGCATAGCAGGTTCTCTGAATTCCTAGCTTTCCTTTTTTTAAAGCCTCTTCCCTTTTAGAGACATAAGGAAAAGGGCATATCTCCATGAGGAAAAACGCTAGAACTTCCTTTTTTTAAGTGAAAGCTGGACACTCAGAAAACCTGCTAAGCCTAATGTTATAACAGTCTATTGATATATCAATATTTTAGTGCCATCTTTAAAAAAAGAAAACAAAACCACTCATCTTCAGAGTGGGCTGGTTTGACCACCAAGGTCCAATAATCAAAAGGCTGGCTGGAGGTGGGTGTGAGTAGGTAGAACAAAGTACATTGACAGAAACATTAGGGATGAGGAAAAAGCCAACTCAAAATCAGCTTCCAGAAAAACATCAAGGTAAAAGTGGTCTCCAAAAAACTGGGGGGATGGGGACAGGGGAAAAACAGAAAAAAAGTGAAAACAAAGGCATAGAAATGCACGCAGAAATCAGGGGATAAAACAAAGCAGTATGGGACCAGAATCGGGGGAGGGGGGACACGTGTGGAAAAGCCTGTCCTTTTCAGGAAAACCCTGAACATTTTTATAGTTCTACCACAGACTTTTTGGCAATTGATGGAGAGAGACATGATGTTACTTCTGGGTTGTCACTTCTCACACCATTGCTGATGCCCCCATGTCCCATGTCCCAGTGCCACATTTATGCCACATAACTACATTGCTCATTAGAGTGGCCACACAGATTCACTGTAGAATGTTCTGCAGTTGTCTGTGGCAAACATCAGGAGCTGCACTCTATTTCATAAGTATGAGCAGAACATCCCACAACTAACTAACATATGCTTTTGATGCCAATTATGTACTACTTTTCATTCCTATAGCATTCTTCATGAAAGTCCAAATACAGTGTTATACCACACAACAACCTTGCATGGCACGTCAGTATCCTATCTAGGGATGGGCACGAACCAGAAAAATGCAGTTCATTTTGGTTCGTGGTTTGCGGCGAGCCCGGTTTGTGAGTCATGAACCGTCACAAACTTTTAGGCGCCAAACAAACTAGTGAGGTTCGTGATGCAGTAGAACACTCCCCTGGTGCACTAGAAACACCAAACTCACAAGCATTCTCCAACTGACTTTCCTCTACCTGCCCACCAAAGAAGGTGCCCCCAGGAAAGTGCTTTCTAAGGAAATGACAGGCTCAAATTCTGGAGTGTATAGAATGGACCCTGTGCAAGCTAGAGACATCAAACTTGCAGGGGACCTCCCCCTGATGCTCCTCTACATGCCCCCCCCCAGTTATGTACAGATTGGACTTAGAACATCCAAGTTATGACCTCCCAAAGAAGATGCTCCCAGGAAAGTGCTTTTGGGGAAAATGTCAGGAGCACATACAAAAAGTGTATAGAATGGACCCCATGCAAGCTACACACACTGAATGCACAGGGAACCTCACCCTGCCTTTGACATTTGGTAAACATTTGTTTTATTTTATTTTATTGGTGTGTGTGTGTGTGTGTGCGCACGCGCAGCTGTGCCTGGAAATCACGGTGACCTCTGGCAACTCCTACTGGGGCATGGAGAACATTCAGAGAAGTGGCTTGATAACCTGCCTCTTCCTCTTGATCCTGGTATTCTTTGGAGGTCTCACATCCAAATACTTGCCAAGATCGGCCCTGCTTAGCTTCTGAGATCTGATGAGATCAGGCTTGCCTGGGCTACCCAGGTCAGGGCAAGTTGGTAAACATTTTGATAGAGCAGAGACAGTGTCTGGAAATGTTTCCATTCACAAACTGCCACAAGCCACCACAAACTGCTTGAAAGTTCATGGGGAAATCATGCTGGTTGAGCTGCCACAAACTTCAGTTCGTGAACCACGACCCAGCCAAAATTTGCCACAAATTTTAGTTTGTGAGCCAGTTCATGCCCATCCCTAATCTCCATATAATCATTTTACTGGATGGTCTAACTGGGATACATCCTCTCATTGCTTCTTTCAACAATGTTCTCTTTGGGTGAATGCTACCAAGATTACATACCTGGAAAGGAAGCACACATTCACTCCATAATTATATTGTGAAACTAGGATACTTACTGTACCAAAATTTCGAAATACTGTTAGTATTCTCATCTATGCTCCCAGTAAACCAGCATCTCCAGAAGAAACCTTCATGATGGTAAGTAATCTCTTCCTGTACAAAATAAACACACTTTATATGTTATCCTGATGAACACATGCATTGTATTCTTCGTGAATGTAGACATTCGGAGACAATAAATAGCATTTTAAATATAGAATGGTTGGCAAAAATCCATAAAAATGGTTCATTTCTCAATTGATTCTGAATATAATAAATTCAAACAATGAAAAATAAACAAAAATTAACTTCCAAATATTAATAGGATTGAGATCTAATGGGATTTAGATCAGGCCCACATTAAACTATAGAGAATAGTCCACACCCATGGGAGATCTTTCTGTACATGAGGGCATGCTGAGAAGAAAAAAATGTATACTAACCCTGGTCTCATTCAAATTGTCTGAACACCTTCCAACTTCTGTAGCAAGAAGCCAGTAATCCGTTCCAAAAGCAACCAAAAAGAACAAAATCCCCAAAGCTCCAAACAGACCTCCGAAAAAGATTGCAACACTCAATTTCATTGCGGGTTGTTTGTTTGTTTTTAAAAGGGTGATCTATTTACAAATTATACTTAGATATCTTGTTTAAAAAAATCCTACTTAGAAAAAGTTAGAAGAGGATTGAACCACAGGACCGGAAGTGCTGTTGGGGAAAGTCTCTGAAGAAGATTTTTTTTTTAATCTTCTTTCATGGGCTTTTCCATTCGTGCTACAGTTTGATTTGTGTTCCATTAAAGTGCTTGAAACCTAACAGATGGACAGAGGTTTCTATTTTTGAACACTCCATGAAAGAACTTGCACTAGTTCCCTGAACTGGGCGTGGCCAGCCCAAAATAGATGACCTTCCCTTAGCTGGGTATTGACTTGAAATATTGTTGCACTGGCGGCACCAACAGACGTGAAAGGGGGATAAAGTTACTTGTGCCCTTGTTAGTTAGCACAGGTTGGGTTTCAGTACCAGCGATGGCAAGCACTTTCAGTATGTACTCCCTGCAATCTCTGTGTCTCCTCCCATAATCAGGCAAGGAATGTACACACACCGTGACAGACAAACACAAAAAGAGTGAACCCAAGCACTGAAGGCTTATCACACAATGTATTACAATACCTGGACTTCATTGATCTGCTTACTTGATCATTCACAGGAATATCAGCATTGTTATGGTGCAATACCCACACGCTGAAAGCTAAAATCTGATACCTGACAGTATCCTATTTAGCAGGGCTTTTTTTGTAGAAAAAGCCCAGGAGGGACTCATTAGCATAATAGGCCACACCCAACAGCAGATACTCATTAGCATATTAGGCCACACCCTTGACAGCACAGTCCATTAGCCTATTAGGCCACACCCCCATGTTACCAGAAGTGTGGTCATCCAGCCACACCCACCTTTTGCTTCTTATTCTGTTTACCTTGTTGTCAAAACCCAGAGCTTTTTTTGTAGCAGGAACTCCTTTGCATGTTAGGCCACACACCCCTAATGTAGCCAATTCTAATGAGTTTGTGCTGTTGGGTGCGGCCTATTATGCTAATGAGTTCCTGCTGGGTGTGGCCAACTCAGGAGCCAGCCGGAACTCCGTTCCTGTGCATTCTTTCCCAAAAATAGCCCTGCTTTAGTAGAAAAGCATTAAGTGGTGCACTATGCCTCTCTCCACAAAACTCGCATTGTAACACAAGAAGCACTCCAGCAGAGAATACTCCAAGCCGCACATCCAAGATCACACACTTCAGCTATCCTTGGATTTCCAGTGGCAGCCAGGAACATACCTATGCTTTCAAGTTTTATTTACTGGGGATTTTTTAAGTCAACAGTATTCAATGTTTTCTTATACCAAGTGAGTCAGGTGTTCATTTATGTGACTAGAACAGTACTATCCATCTGCTCTGAATGGCAACGACTCTCCAGGACCTGAAGCACAGAAAGATATTCCACAACAGCTGCTATGGATTTGGAACTATTTGTATTCAAGTTCTACTACAGAGCCTAGACCCCTGACTAATATGCAAACACAGTCATAATCCATATTCCCTCTAAGATGAGTTAGTGTGAGTTACCTCACCGTTTTTTAACCTGAAGCTCACACATTTTTGTCTTAGCTCAGGAAGGATGGCTCCAGAGCAAACTAATTTATGCAGTAGCCAAATCGCTTGCTCATGACTTTAATGCCAGTAGCTCACAAACAGGGCTATTTTTGGGCAGGAATGTTTTTTACAGGAACGGAGTTCCGGCTGGCTCCCGAGTTGGCCACGCCCAGCAGGAACTTATTAGCATAATAGGCCACACCCAATAGTAGAAACTCATTAGGATTGGCTACATTAGGGGTGTGTGGCCTAACATGCAAAGGAGTTCCTGCTACAAAAAAATCCCTGGGTTTTGACAACAAACAAGGTAAACAGAATAAGAAGGGAAAGGTGGGTGTGGCTGGATGACCACACTTCTGGTAACATGGGGGTGTGGCCTAATGTGCTAATGCGTGGAGCTGTCAGGGTATGGCCTAATATGCTAATGAGTTTCTGCTGTTGGGTGTGGCCTATTATGCTAATGAGTTCCTGCTGGGCTTTTTCTACAAAAAGAGCCCTGCAAAGTAGAATTTTTGCTCACAAAACCCCACAGTTTAGAGGGAACGTTGGTCAAAATAGCTGGATTTGCACTGCTAAAGGGCCATGGAACTATTTAGTTTAAAAAGTAGACTGTATCTGCAGCTGTGCCCTGACCTAAATAGCCCAGGCTACCACAATCTCATCACATCTCAGAAGCTGAGCAAGGCTAGTGTGTGGATTGGAGCCCACCAAGGAATACCAGGGTCATGACATGGAGGCAGGCGATGGCAAAGGCAAACCACCGCTGAACATCTCTTGCCCTAAAAACTCTATTCTCAGGTTAGCTGTGATCTGATGGCAAAATAAATAAACAAATCTACAGCTGTAGGAGTTACAACACAGAGGTCCACTCTGTTCTGCCTTACATGCAAAAGAGATTTCTTGTGATCCTGGTCATCCTGGAAACTGTTTATTTAAAGACTATTTAAATGGGCTTCTTTCCAAAATGTTCCAATGCAATAACAAACCTAAAAAAAAAACCCACTAAATACTAAAACCACATCAATTATCTGTCTGCTGATATATGTTTGTTTGTTTATGGGATTTCTATCCCGCCCACCCCCTCAAGCAGGCTCAGGGTGGGTTTCAACAGGTAAACAAAACAGTTAAAAATAACTGCCACGATAATCACAATTTTAAAAACCTATAAAATCTGGGCAACATTAACACTTGAAGGTGAAACAATGCTACATCAAGCACCCAGGCGTACACTGCACGTGTGCCCAAGGGCCAGCATATTGGGTAAGTGGGCAAGGATATCCACCAATGGCATAACTTGACAAAATATACAGCATAGAGACCGATTTGGGCAGTGGAGGCTGCAAGGCCCTGATCTCACTTGGGAGAGTGTTCCACCAAGCCAGAGCCAAAAAGGCTCTGGTCGAGGCTAAATGGCTGGTCGAGGCTCTGGCTCTGGTCGAGGCTAAATGGATGTCTAGAAGAAGAGTTTGAATTTATACCCTGCCCTTCACTACCCAAAAGAGTCTCAGAGCAGCTTACAAATTCCTTTCCCTTCCCCTCCCCACAACAGACACCCTGTGAGTTAGGTGGGGCTGAGAGAGCTCTTGACAGAAACTGCTCTTATTCAAGAACAGCTGTGGCTTGCCCAAGGTCATCCAGCAGGTGCAAGTGGAGGAGTGGGGAATCAAACCCGGTTCTCCCAGATTAGAGTCCGTGCACTTAACTACTACACCAAACTGGCTCTCTAAATGGCTGGTTGAGGCTCTGGCTCTGGTTGAGGCTAAATGGATGTCTTTCGGGCTGGGAATGACCAGAAGGTGTTATTCAGCCAAGAGTAAAGCTCTTCAGGGAACATATTGGGAGAGACTGTCCTGCAGATACATTGGTCCAGTTCCTGCTTGCCACAGGCAGTATTGACCAAGAAGAATTTTGCAGACTATCCTAACTATTGCTAAACATAAGTTTCCTCAAGTGCATGAAACATAAGTTTCCTCAAGTGCATCATATTTTGCCCTTTTACATTTTCCTACCCAAATACTTCTTTTGCAGCCTTCCTAAGGTCTTGTCACATCTCTGAAGCAGGCAGCCAATTTCTAATTGCCTATTAAGGCTTTTCTTACTGAAGGGCAGAAGCTGATAAACTGAAATATGGTTGCTAGTCAATTTCACTTTAACTTCTTTCTGCTTCTTGCTCTCTTTTCAGATTAATACATGCACAGACCTAGCAGAAGCTAGTGACTCTATGGCTCAGATAAAGTTTTTGGGAAAAGACTGTTATCATCTAGAATTTTGCAACCATGTAAGTATTTTGTTTTTGCCATCCTATATGGCAAGATTAGCCAAATCTTAAAATTTGTTTTTACTTTTTTTAAAAAAAAGGCATGTATTTTGTGATTAAATTTCTATTGCATTTTATTGCATCACTGTGCCCTAGATGTAAAACTCTAACAAAACAGATTTAAGAGGAGAGCTTCATACAAGCATCCTCAGAGGCCTAGAACTAGTAAGGTGATGACATTTCTATCTGGCTTTTCGTGAAGGTTTGGACCTTTCAGGAAATTGGCTGTGGAAGCAATTGTGAGGAGTGTGGTTGATTTTTTTTTAAAAAAATGGCATTCTACCATTGCCACCCACTCGCCTCTGCTCTTGCATACATCACCTGTTATTCTGTAGGTTTTATTTTAACATTCCAATCTTTGAAGATAACACCATTTTGACTTTGAAGACTGCTCATGTCATAAGGCTTGGTTATGTAATAAATAAAATCTCGGCTGCCCACTTCACAAATTTTGCCGGAAAATCTCACAGTGGCATCTCTAAAATCAGTTCCGTATGTTTCATCGTAAGATGTGTAATCGTACTCACTCATACTGTGGCCTCCAGTCTCAGAGAAACAATTATTCATTCTCCTGATCGAGATAAAATCTTATAACATTCAGATTTTTAATGCAGAAGTCACTGGCCCAAATTTATCTCTGGCACAAAGACAGCCCTTGATGTTTTACTAAACACTGACTCTAAGGCTTATCTATCTCGAAAGACTTTTTTTAAATAGAAGCATGCATAAAAAGATTATGTTTAAAAGACTGTTTTATGCTGAAATGAACTCATCTGGGTAATATTCTGAAAATTAAGTTTATTTTCTCAAGATAGAACTGTGGCCCACGATTTGGAGACCATTTTTTTTCCTGCTAACCCAAGTTGTCGTTAAGTATTTGCTTAGGTCTATATTACCCTGTTACCATCCACCCAGACTGTGAATGTGCAGGACCCCAATTCATCACCTCAGCAGAAAGACTCCCAAAGGCACACAGGCCGGAAAATGTGGGGGGGAAGCGTGGCTGTTTGTCCCGGAACAAAGTAACGCGCGGCAGCCCGATCAGACGTCCTGTCGAGGTCCCGTGGTTAGGCGTTAGGTGTCGATCAGACAGCTAGTCTGCAGCGTGGCAAAGAAGCAGCATGGCGCGTTCACACCAGCAATCGCGCTGCGCCGCTTCTGTGCCAAACGGGATTTTTTATTTGTCTCACCGAAGTTTGCGCATGTGCATGACCGTTTGTGCGCATCCTGTGGGGATTTTTAAAAAATCTGGTTTGCAAGGGGACATGGGCGGACGCCGGATGCCACGGGATTCCAGTGGAAACGCGATCAGATGCCCGCCCTTGCCCCGCGTTTTCCAGAAACCAGTACATCGT